CATACAAACAACCTGTATTATCTCATGCTGTGAACTTTCCTAAAATCTTTCAAAGGTTCACAAAACCCAAACAAGTAGCATCTGACCTCAGCAAACCTCGTACCTCTTGTTGAGCAGCCTCAGGCCTGGCACTAGGGGCAGCCAGCCTCAGTTCAAGGCTTGGCCTCTTGAGGTATATCCAAGCCCAGCATGGGTGGAGGCCATCTGCATATTGCTTGGGGGCCCGTGCCAGGTGGTTCTGGGCAAGGCACAGGCTGTGGCTGAATTTGGTCTGCAGCAGGGCCCCTCCAAGGAGGCCCAGGGGCCAGCACACCTGTTGGCCAGCTTCAGTCTGAGCAAGAGCACCACCTGGGGCTGCATCTGAGGATGACACACCCAAAGGGCAGACTAGGCAGGCACTAGAGCCCTGCTAAAGCAAATGCATATAGTCAGCTCCTGCACAATTCCTCCTCCACTGTAGTTACCAGCCAGTCTTCACAACCAATCAACTCAAGAGTCAATACCTTCCATTGATGTGCAAGCAGCAACCAAGGCTCAACTACAACAGGATGGCATACATGCCACATACAAGGGACACACCTGAGGCACCCAATTCAGGTCACCAGGAAAGACTGTGACACTGGGCCCCACAGCACACCTACTACACGAGACCACTCTACTAAGACTGAGAGACATAGCAACCCTACCTAATATATAGAAACAAACACAAGTAGGTAGCAAAAATGGGAAAACAAAGAAACATGTCCCAAACAAAAAAATAGAACAAAACCCTGAAAAGGAACTAAAGAAAATGGAGACAAGCAATCTACTTGATGCAGAGTTCAAATACAGGTTATAAGGATGCTCATTGAACTTAGGAGAAGAGTGGAGAAACTCAGTGAGAACTTTAACAAAGAGATAGAAAACATAAAAAAGAACCAGTCAGAAAAGAAGAATATAATAAGTGAAATGAAGAATATCTTAGGAGGAATTAACAGTAGATTAGATGAAGTAGAGTATCTAATCAGTGATTTAGAAGATAAGGTAGCAGAAAACATCCATTCAAAATAGCAACAAGAAAAAAGAATTATAAAATTAGGATAGTTTAAGGGGCCTCTGGGACAGCATCAAGTGTACCAACAGAAGGATACCAGAAGGAGAGGAGAGAGAATAAGGAATTGAAAACCTATTTCAAGAAATAATGATGGAAAACTTCCCAAATGTGGCAAAGGAAATAGACATACAAGCTCAAGAAAGGCAGACAGTCCTGAACAAGATGAACCCAAAGAGGCCCACAGCAAGACACATCATAATTAAAATGCCAAAGGTTAAAAACAAAGAGAGAATCTTAAAAACAGCAAAAGAAAAGCAGTTAGTTACCTACAAGTGAATTCTTCAAAAGAATTTCTCAACAGAAACTTTGCAGGCCAGAAGGGTTTGGGAGGAAATATTCAAAGTGATGAATTTCACTATTCAGATCTCACTATTTTACACGTACTCCTGTGTGTGTGTGTGTGTGTGTGTGTGTGTGTGTGTGTGTAGTTCTCTGCCATTTTATCACACAGATTTTTGTAACCATCATCACAATCAAGATAAAGAACTGTTCTATCACCACAAAGATCTTCATACTACTCTTTTTTATATTTTATTTTGTTCAATTATAGTTGACATATAATATATTAATTTCAGGTATACAACACAGTGATTAGACATTTACATAACTTATGAAGGGATCATCTCAATAAATCCAGTACTCATTTGACACCATACATAGTTATTACAATACTATTATTTTCCCCATGCTATACTCTACATACCCATGACTATTCTGTAACTAGGAATTTGTACCTCTTAATCCCCTCCACCCATCCCCCAAAACCCCAGTCTAACAACCATCAAAATGCTCTTTGTATCTATGAGCTTTTTTCTGTTGTTTGTTTGTGGAATCTATTCTCTAGATTCCACCTATGACATTGGTTTGTCTCTGTCTGACTTACTCCACTTGGCACAATACCTTCTAGGTCAATCCATATTGTTGTAGATGTGAAGATTTCATTCTTTTATGTCTGAATAACATCTCATAGTATATAAGTACCACCTCTTCTTTATCCATTCATCCATTGATATACACCCAGGTTATCTCCATATCTTTGCTATTGCAAATAATGCTACAAAACATAGGGGTGCATATGCCCCTTTGAAGTAATATTTTGGGTTTCTTTGGATAAATACCTAGAAGTGGAATTACTGGGTCCTTCCTTGTCTTTTGTTATAGGCTTTTAAAAAAAAAATTATTATGGTGACTTTGGTTAATGAAATCCAGTAAGTTTCAGGTGTACAATTCAACAGTAAGGCGTATATATAGGCAGTGTGTTCACTGCCCATAGTTCGATTTCTTTCTGTCACCACCTATTTGACCCCAACTTCCTTCCCCTTCCTCTCTCCCCATTGATAACCACTAGTCTATTGACCATGTCCATGAGTATTTGTTTGTCCTGTTTGCTTGTTGCTTTTAATTTAAATCCCACATATAAGTGATATCATGTGGTCTTCAATATTTCCTATCTGGCTTATTTCACTTAGCATAGTTATATGTTAAGGTCCATCCACATTGTCACGTGGCAGTATTTCATCTCTTCTTTGGCTGAGTAATATTCCATTATATATATGTACCACACCTTCTTTATCTAATACTCTATCTAATACTCTTCAGTGGCTTTCATGTCCTGGCCACCGTGAGTAATTCTGCTATGAACATCGATGTGCAGATATCTTTTCGGATATGGGTTTTCAAGTCTTTGGGGTAAATACCCCATAGAGGGATTGCTAGATCACGTGGTAGGTCGGTAAATTCTTAGTTGTTTGAGGAAACTGTTTTCCATAGTGGCTGTGCCAATTTGCAGTTCCACCAACAGTGTATGAGGGTTCCTTTTT